GCAACTTCCCCAAGATAGACAATTAAAACCTATAAAATATTTTACTTATTTTATTTGCCCTGAATGATGTTGTTATTATATCACAAGTTTAATGTAATTTATTTTATTAAAAACAAGTTAGGGAGAACGTTTAGCTTAGCAGTTAAGATGCATTTAAGATACCGGCACTTGTTTATTTATTTATTTATTTATTTATTTATTTAATTCTCCTGCTCTGGAATCCAGATTCTCATCAATTGAAAGTGGTGACTCAAGTCATTGAATTCCCGCCACCCACGTGATATACCTGCTGAGTTTCTGGCTTTCAGCTTTGGACATTCAGGATTTGTGAGGCTCTCACTCTCTCCATCTCAAATAAGTGAATAATTAATAGCAGACAATGATTAAATATAGTTGAGGAGTTGGGTAGGTGAGGGAATAATTTTAAAATCACCCTGCATTTTTTAATTTGCATAACTAGGCGAATAGTGATGTCACTGAAAACAAACTAACCCAAGAGGATGTGCAGATCTGAGGTGTAGTGATATGAAACCATGAAAATCCCAGCAGAAGCAAGTCAGAGGCACTGGATTTGTGTTTCTTTAACTGAAATGTTGGCTCTGTGTTTTGTATGTATGTGTCGGTGATATGGTTCCCTAACAACACTGTGGTGCATCTTCCATTTTATGGCAAAGGTGAGTGTACTAATCAGAGTAAGTGAATTTACTTACAGTGCTAAAAAAAAAAAAAGAAAGAAAGAAAGAAACACTGACACAGACAAATACTTAACACATGGGTGGAGGCTGAAAATTATTTCTAAGCTTGGGTTTAGAAGTAAAGTGACATGCAAATATATATAGTGATAAACAGGAGCTGTTTAATAGAGACTATGGGGCTAGGTGCAATGCCTCAGTGGCTAAATCATCACCTTGCATGTGCTGTGATCCTGTATGCGCACTGGTTCATGTCCCAGCTACTCCACTTCCTGTCCAGCTCCCTACTTATGACCTGGCAAAGCAACAAAGAATGATCCAAAGCCTTAGGACTCTGTACCCACATGGGAAACCTGGAAGAAGCTCCCAGCTCCTGGCTTCAGATTCGCTCAGCTCTAACCTATTGCAGTCTCTTGGAGAGTGAACCAGGGATTGGAAGAATCTTCCTCTCTGTCTCTCCTTCTCTCTGTGGATCTGACTTTCCAATAAAGATAAATAAAGCTATTTTTTAAATTAGACTGTCATATCAAGAAGTGTAGATACAGTGCTGTATGTATCTCTCATGAAAAACAGATGGACCCCCAGTGAAATTGACAATAGAATGCTGGACATTCTGTCATTGTCTATATAATGCTATGATACACTTAAATAGCAGAATGGTGCACTTATGATTGCTTTTGAAGGACTATACTATTGTAAGAATATGGGGGAATTTAGTGAGCCAATGGAACTGTATAATAAGTATATGTATAGACACATAGATGGATAGATAGACAGATAAGCAAATCAATTAAAAAAAAACAAAAAAAAAGAATGAAAGCAAAGTTCAGATAAGAGATATAAAGAACAAATGCATCTGGAGGCAATGCAGCAATCAGAAGTGAGTTCCCCTCCCAAATTAATTTTGCATCAAATGCCACTTTCAGGAGCTAACTTATATTTTCATTACAAATGCTTTTTGAAATCAGAGTTGGTAGCTACATGTAAAGGGGTGAAAAGTGGGCATATTGATTTTTCACATGGAAAAAAAGAAAAGCAGTTAGCATTTTTTCAAGAGACTAGAGAAAATCGTGATCTTCCATCCTTCTAGACAATAACCAGAGTGCTCTGAATTGTACATGGGAAAGGCAACTATCCTGTAACAGTGAAGGTGGGACAGAGTTGAACAGTGGGAAAAATGGCAGTATCTCATTCTTATAAAATTAATACACATGATTCCAAAATAACCTACAGAGCTGTTGTTTCCAACTACATCTCAAATCTGTAGTCCAGTATAAAGATCCCACTAAGAATGCTAAAGAGTCAAGGAAAAAACATTATATTTAAGGTCTGGGTATAGAAAAAGGGATTAAATCAGGTATTCACATATCTATTTTGTGGTTGGCTAGATCTTCTTGAATCAAAGTAATGAATACTCGGCACTTGAATTAAAACCTAAAATCTAAATAACCTTGGATTCTGTATGTTAGCGTACTTAATGTGGGGAAATTATCCAGCTCCTAGAAATAGCCTTCAAATCTGCCCATTTCCCTCTGGTTTTAACTTTCTTCAAACCACTTCCTGCTCCGGCCAGCAGAGCCAGTGACATGGACAGGGAGGGCCTGGGATGAAGCACCAACAAGAGATCAGTGATGATAGAAGTCTCTGCGAAGTCTTTCTTTATTGCTCCTTCACCTCTGCTTATATACTCTTCCCCTCCCCCCACATCCTAATTTAGCCACGATATTGGATACAGATGAGTCCAGTTAGTCCAGGTGTTTAGGTGTTTTTAGCCACAAGCCCAGTTCCTGTTCCCGCCCATTCCAATGAGCACTGGTCAACTCCTTAGCCCACAACAACTGCCATCTACTTTTGTATGACACAAATCTAATCTTGGAGTTTACCTGTGTAACATTCAGCCACCATCATTATTTCCAGGTTCTAAAATTTTATGTCAAATTGATTTTATCTATGTTTCTGTGTCTGACATTATTAAATTATTGAGTTGACCAACCTGTTTTTATGCTTTACTCCAGTATATATTTCTAGGTTTAGTTCCATATATACAATATGACATATACCACATGCCATACCACATACTAGAAATTGGGATTTATAAATTTTAATGTGTTTGCAATCCAGCAGATGGGGGCAGAAGAATAGGATTTCTTTTCATAAATAACGATTCTGATTTAGTAGATCTGAGGTATGGTGAAAATTCTACCTTTCTCATAATCTTCTAAATAACAATAATTAAAATGACTCAAAGAGTAAAGAACACACCGTGAGGAACAAAAGTATACAGTTAATCATATCACATAGCAGAAATATCACTTATCACACCATACCTACACACGTAGTGAAGAAATTATTATTACCTGCAGATAACACAGTATCCATGTCTGTCCATGTAACTTACTGTTCATCACTTGTCCTTCTACGGCAACAGCTTCCTGTTTTAATATCAGTCAATAAATCGTTTCCAATACACTTTATTCAATTTTATTTGAATTATAAACAATGAATATACTCAAAAACATAGATTGGGTCTGTTTTTATGCTTATTACCTAAGATCTTTTATTTCATTAATGTAACATATGACGACTGCCCAAATGGAGAGATGGTTTTATTGTCATAATATACTGTGGCAATTGTGAATAGTACTATTGGAGCTCTTAAGAATTTATCCCTGAGGGCTCGGCATAGTAGCCTAGTGGCTAAAATCCTCACCTTGCACACACCAGGATTCTATATGGGCACCGGTTCCTGTACCAGCTTTTCCACTTTCCGTACAGCTCCCTGTTTATAGCTTGGAAAATCAATGGAGGATTGCCCAAAGCCTTGGACCCTGCATCTTCATGGAAGCCTGGAAGAAGCTCCTGGCTTTAAATGAGCTCAGCTCTGGTCATTGTGACCACTTGGGGAGTGAACCAGCAGATGAAAGGTCTTTCTCTTTGCTTCCCCTTCTCTCTGTAGACCTGACTCTCCAATAAAAATAAAAAAAAAATTTTTTTGAAAAAACTTAATCCTGGGGCCCAGCTAGGTGGCCTAGTGGCTAAAGTCCTCTCCTTGAAAGTGCCAGGATTCCGTATGGGCACTTGTTTTAATCCCGGCAGCTGCACTTCCCATCCAGATCCCTACTTGTGGCCTGGGAAAGCAGTTGAGGATGGCCCAAAGTCTTGGGACCCTGCACCCACATGGGAGACCTGGAAGAGGTTCATGGCTCCTGGCTTCTGATTGGTGCAGCACCAGCCATTGTGGTCAATTGGGGAGTGAATCATCGGACAGAAGATCTTCCTTTCTCTGTCTCTCCTCCTATCTATATATCTGACTTTGCAATAAAATAAATCTTAAAAAAAAACCTTAATTCTGAGATAATAATTTTAAACAAGTAATGTAGAACAAATAGATTGAATGGTTCAAATTCATAAGTGACAAGTTTAAGATACCAATATTTTGTTGAGATATAAAAACAAGAATATTGTGTTCAGTATTGACCAAAAATGATCTTCAGGAGGTGTCAGATGAGTAGTGGTGATGATAATTCTGGCACTGTGGTATAGTGGGTAGCAGTGAGTTAAACTGCTGCCTGCACTGTTGACATCCCACTTGTTCAAGTCCCAGTTGATCCATTTCTAATATTGCTCCCCACTTATTAACCTGAGAAAGCAGCAAGAGGGCCCCAGTGCTTTGACCCCTGCACACACATGGGAGACCCAGATTAAGACCCAGCCTTGGTCATCACCTTTACATCATCTGAGGAGTGGAACAGCAAGTGGAAGATCTCTGTCTCCCTCTGTATAATTCTTTCAAATAAATGAATGTTTTAAGAATAAAGATACATAGATGAATCCATTTATTCAGTTGGAGAATGGAAAGATTAAAGACAATATTGAACATTGTCTATGGTTTATGAGTATGTATGGGATGAGGAATGACATCTGTAACCAACATGAAGGAGATATCAGGAAAACAGACAAACACAATGGACCTGGGAATGAAGCAGGTGCAGCCAGAAATGTGCTAATGAGGTATGTGCACATTGCACATTACAACTTGAAGTAAAATAAGTGTCATAACACAATGTGCTTAATAGAAGTACGTGTTCATGAAGCAAAATTTAAATAGTATAACATTTCAATAATATTTCAAGATTGCACAATCTCATAAAATATTATTTTAATATAGGTCATAAATAATTTTAAAAAGAAAACATTTTCTGTGCCATTTTGATTTACTTTTCCTATTTTGATATTAAATGATGTGACCAAATTTATTTAAAACGTATAGCTTAAAAACAAGCAAACAAAGCTTGGTCCTTATTATTCCTTTCATGTGCAGAACTATTTCTCATTTCAAAATGCTTCAGGGAAGGGTGGAAATTGTAATACATTTAACATCCTAAAACAAGTCTAGACTTGGTACTTAAGGAGTCACAGATTTTAAAAATGAAGCATACAAAATAAGTAGTGGTTTAGCAAGAGTGTAATAAAACAGCTGAGATTGATTTATAAGTTTTTATTTTCATTCCAGGAATGTATAACACATAATAGGGACACAGCACCATTCCCACTGGGTAAAAATATTATAATGTGGAATGCACATTCAAGTCAAGAACATGTGTGGCAACACTATTCTTTTAACTGTGTCTTTTAAAAAGATTGCAGAAAAGACTTAATTGTAACATGGAAACAAGGAAATAAGTCAGGCATAGTAAGACAAAAGAGGAAAATGAAGATTATATTTACTGATTTCATCTTTTTGTAGTTTCAACACATAGTTCTGACTAGGTTACTGAGTGGCTTCTGTATGCATGCTAGTTCCTCTGATTTTGGAGTCAGAAAACTAAGTAAGTTGAAATTAAAAACACTCTAATCCAACAGATAAAATTACAATGCTTCTGTCATATATATGCTTAGCATTTGGCTTAGTATTTCGCACATTTCCTGATACATAAAATTATCAATCATCTCATTAATATCAATATTTTCTAAATGTCTATTATGTTATGAAACAACATGAGCTCTCAAAAATAATATTTTTAGCTATACATGATAAACTATTAACATGGGGCAGTATGTCAGAAACAGTTAAATAACTTAGTTCACATTTATTATAATTAAAAAATGCAACTGTATTGTCAAATTCTGCAGCATTGAAAAACCAATACTCTGGGCTCAGTGTGATAGCCTCGTGGCTAGATCTGGGTTGTTTCCATGTCTTCACTGTTACGGATTGTGCTGCTGGGAATATAGGATTGCAGGTCATTTTCTCATGTGCCGATTTCACTTCTTTTGGGTATACTGCAGGCAGTGAGCTAGCTGGGTCAATTTTCAGTTGACTCAGCACAAGCACTTGGCACTTAGCACATGTCTTTGCTATTGTAGACTCTGCGGCTGTAAATGTAGGATTGCAGGTCACTTCCTCATATGCAGATTTCATTTCCTTTGCATGTATTTCCAAGAATAGGATAGTCGAATGAACAGACTGAATGAAAGAAAAAAATCATACACTTGAAAACAGACTCTTTGAAAATGAAACAGGAGAATGAGAAGAAAACAAAAAGTAACAGTAGGAACAGACAGCTTCAGGAACTTTGAGATGGTATGAAAATGGTAAATATCTGAGTTGGTGAGGTTTAAGAGGGAAGATGCCATCTTAAGAGGTAGAAAGCATATTAAAAGAACTAAAAGCAGAAATTGTCTCAAATCTAGGGAAAGATACAGTTATCCATACAAGACACCAGTCAAATCCAATCCCACCAATCTCATCAAGAGGCATTACAACTAAGCCTTCTAAAGTCTAAAGACATGATTCTCAAGGCTGTGGGAGAGAAAAAACAAATAATTCATTTAACCTCAGAAGTTTCAGGAGACAGTGAGACATTTTTTTCCATATAAAAAGCTATTCTTCAGATATGAGAGATAAGGCTTTTCAAAACAAACAAGAGCTGAAATAGTTTCTTACTACAAAACCAGTGTTACAAGCAATATTAAAGGGAGCTCATCAAACCAAAGCAACCGAAAAAGCTGATAAGAACCGAGTAAATAGCAGAAAGCAGAGAACCGCACTGTAATGCTCAAACTGCAGGAAGTTGAGTTATTTATTAGTACTCCTATTTGAAGGATACATGTATTTGTTTGAAAAACAGAGTGAAAAAAGCAGAAACGAGAGGGTGATCTTATCCCCACTGGGTCACTCCACACAGGCGTGTAATAACTAGGACTGAAACTGCTGAAGACAGGAGCAAGGACAATTTTGTAAATTAAACAAAAGTAACACTGCTTTTTAACTATTTATGCATTATTGGAAAGGTGGATTTACAGAGAACAGGAGAGAAGGAGAGAAAGATCTTTCATCTGCTGGTTAATTCTACAGATGGCTGCAACAGGAGCTGAGCCAATCTGAATCCAGGAGCCTTCTCTAGGTCTCCAACAGGGGTGCCTTCTCAGATCATAAACAAGGAACTGGGTAGGAAGTGAAACAGCTGGGACATGAACCCATATGGGATGCCAGCACTTGGAAGTGGAGGAATAGCCAATTAAGCAATCATGTACAACCTCCAGAAGTAGCAAATTTTAAGAAGCAAATCTGCAAGGAAATATTTATGCCATGGAGACAATTTTTATACTAAAATAAATGAAAAACATTATGCAGCTAATCTATAAGACTAATAATAAACTGTATTTTAAGAGTGCACTTTAATGTCATAATGCAATGGGCATTATATAAAAATAAATATTATGGAACAACCAGGCTTTTTAAGTCGGGAAATTCTGTATAATATTTTAATTTTGGAATTGTTGCTTTGTGTTTTTATGTTGAGGCTATAAAAAGTAAAATTTTCTAAGAGGATAAAAAATAGATTTACATTTTAAAATTACTTTTTTTAAAAAAAATGTTTTTCCTAGATAAACTCTATCAGATCTGTGGGCTTCTTGCAAGTCTAACTCCGCCATTATCTACCTTATTTCTTGTACTAGTAACTCCAATAGTAAGAATACCAAATAGTTCTTCCAACACACCAATCTGCTGAGTTCTAATTCCACACTTACTAATTTCTTTGAAAGTTTTCTCATGTTCAATCCATGTAGTACATGCCTTTCATTCATCTGCTGATGGGATAACTAAAAGCTTAAACAGGAACGCTGCTTTTAAATGGTGTGATTAAATATGATATCACTGGTCAGATCAAAGTGCTTTCCAAAATTTGCAATGTAGCGATCATTTCATTTTGTATGTATTACATTCTTCACACTATTGCAATGACACAACAATATTTTTGTAGGCAAGACATGCATATTATTACCCATTTTCCCCCATGGATAATATAAAACAACACAGTTGATAGCGTAAATTTCATCAATAAATTCATAAATAATGTAAGACACATGAAGTTTTGTCTCTGCCAGGAAGGCTATGTTATACAACTTCCTCATTGCTAAACAAGAGTTGTTAGTCATCACACTTGGAACAAACACATGTGTACAAATTTGTATCCAATTAAAATCAAGACATGTGCTCTGCAATAAATCACTTAGGGATTACCCACCATACAGGAATGATGAGTGTACAAAAGAGCTCTTAAACTGGAAAATGATTCTTATCATGTTGCACAGACTATTAATTCAGCTTAATATTTGCAAACAGTTTCACTAAACACCAGTACTAGAATGTAGTAAATAAAAAATGCAATCCTGAGAATTCAACATTACATAGTATTACTCAATGCGTGAAAACATTGTTCTATTTCACATAATATTTTATATGTTGAAACAGCCAAAACATTCTGTTGTGGCATTTCTTGCATCTTAAACTGTGTTTATTCGTTCTTGATATGGAGAATATTTTACTTCTAATGCACTATAAAAAACTATAATTATTATTCATATTAATCATACATATATTTATAAAATGAGTTGAATACAAAAGATATTTTTGAAAATTGTATAAAATTCGGCAAATAATTTTGAATATCATTTACATTTGTTTTCATTGGATACTAAATAAATTCCAATTTCATATAAAGGTATATTTATAAGATTTTATTTTTCTTAGTAGCTTTTATTTGATTATTAGATTATTAATGGATTGTTAGAAACAAACAAAAATTGTTTTGAAGTATAGAGTTTCCATGTACCCTTCACCTGCTCCCCTCATACTGTTTCTCCTTTAAACATTTTGCTTTATGTGGTGAAATTTGGTACAATTGAGGATCCAACATTGCTAGAGAGATAGTAATCAAAATCCATGCTCTGTATTAAAGTTCACTCTTTGTGTTGTGCATTCATCAGTTTGGGCTTATTAGGATACCATCATTAAGTATTACATAGAGTGGGTCCACTACATAAAATCTAAATGCTTCGTCTATTACTCTCGCCTTCCTTTTACCTTGAAGCTCTAGTAACTTAGGATCATTTCACTGTTTCTACAGCTTTGCTTTTCGAGAGTCTCAAATATTTGGAATCACACAGAATGCATCCTTTTTAGTTTGGTTTATTTAAGTTAGCAACATGCTTTTGTGTTTCTCTACGTTTTCTCATGGGTTTATAGCACAACTTCCTTTATTGCTGATTTTATTGTGTGGACTTGACTACTTTTGAAAGATACCATTTTTATCTCCAAGTTTCAGCAAAAATCCATAAATGTACCATAAATATTCATGTACCAGTGTATATATGTTTTCTTTAAGCTTTGCCAGATAAACAACATGAAGTATGATTGTGATATCCTGCAGTAATAATTTTGTAAGAAACTATTGAATTATCTATGAAAGGGATGGTACCATTTTGCATTTCTACCTGCATCAACTGAGAGTTCATCTGCAGCTGCAATTGGTGTTGCCGGTGTTTGGATCTTTGCCTTTTCACAGGTGTGCACTAGTATCTCATTGTTTTATTTTGTAATTGCCTCATGACATATGACACAGAGCATCTGTTTACAAGCTTATTTTTCATCTGTGCATGCTCTTTGATGAGGTATTTGTTAAAGGCATTGACTCATTTTTAATTGCGTTTATTTGTGTTGTTATTGTTGAGTACTGTGTATGAATTGGATAAGAGGGCTTTACCACACATGTGTTTATCAAAAGTTATTCCCAGAGTCTAAGGTACATTTTTTCATTTTCTTGACAATTTATTTAAAGAGCACAAATTTTTAATTTTTTGGAGTCAAGTTTAATGTTTGTCTTTTTGTTGTTATATCTAAAAAGCTACATATTAAACAAAGACCACCTGTATGTCTCCTGTATTGTTACCTAGGATTTTATACTTTTATCTTTCTACTTTTACTTCTATGAGCCTTTGGAGCTTGTCTTCATAAAACGTACAATGCCTTTCTAGATTACTTTTTATATGCTGATATCTGTTCTTTCCTATCCATTTGTTGAAAATAAAATATTTGTCCATGGAATTAACAGTAATCCTTTGTTCAAGACCAGTTTTATGTATTTATGTGATTTTTATAACAGGACTCAGTTTATTCTTTTGTCACTATCAACTTGTCTTGATTACTGTAATTTTAAATCTTGATATCTTGCAGTGGCAGTCCTCGGGTTTTTATTTTCCTCAATATTATATTATTTATACACACTCCTGTGTTTCCACACAAATTTTATAATTGTCATTGTCTAAAAAATAGTTGCTGGGTTTATTCATTAGACTTTCTCTAGGCTTCAAACTCTTGGATCTTATTTTAATTTATAAAAAAACTTCAAATTTTAAGTAAGTACAATATAAACTACAGTACTATTTTATGTAACATAAGAGCCTTCCTAGCATTTAAACAGCCCATTATATATTGAAGCAAATATTTGTTTTGAACATCAGTTAAATGCATTTTGTAGTGACTTAGTTTCTGTTATTTCTAGCCAAAAATAAATTTTTCAGTTTTGGAATCTCATCAATAAATAAACGAAAAATTTAAATGAAGGACACACACACATACAAACACACACAAACACAATGAAACATAATCATTGGATAAAAATATTAGAGAAGAAATATTTGGAGTTTTCTTTCTTTTATACCTTTCCTTCCTTCTTTCCTTCCTACCCACCATCCTTCCTTCTTATCTTTCTTTCCTTCTTTAAAACTAGCAGCATTCACATCATCTTTAATTGATATATATTTGATAGTCAATGGTTACTATATAAGTGTACAATTAAGTTACAAATAAAATCAGGAACAAATTGCTATCCTCCTTTTCATAACCATGTAGGAACTATTAAAAAATAATCTTCTGTGTTGGAGGTAACAGAACGTACTTTTGTATGCACTTATGATAGTTGGAATCTCTACCATGATATGCTATTGGCATATGATTAAAATAGTATTCATTTTTAAGAATTTTAGGTGTTATTATAAACTTTCAAGGTTGATGATATTGGAAAAAGATAATTTCTGTCTATTACAATATGCTCCAATGTCGTAAGGAGTGTAATTGTGTAAAGTCTATGTCTGCAATAAATAATTCAAATATTATGAGAAAGATTGCATTACATAGACAAAAGTTTCTGAAGTCAAACTTCAACATTTTTTAAATTAGTTGAATTTCATTAATTCTGTTAACATTAAAGACAGCCCTTTATTATATGCCTAATTCAGAACAATATTCTAATTCCCTAAATTTTTACGAGGTCAAAATCCTATGGAATATTTTCCATGACAGCAATTTTTTGAAGTGCAACACTAATTTAGCTTGGTGCCTATATCCAATCTATTATCAGCCATAGGAATATGTCAGGTTTTTTTTTTTTTTTGTATGTCCTACCTCACTTCAGCTCTGCTAGATCATCTTGCTTTTTGTGAGACTTACACAAATAGGATGCTGGGCTCATGCTGCTGCTGAGCATTTGAGTGAAAGCAGGATGGACTCTCATAACCCTAAGCTTATCACTATCAGAAGAGAAGAAATTAGTGTTCTTATCTTGTGATAGGACAGAGAGAAAACCCTAAGGTGGCTTTTGATTAGCCCTACTGATAAGCGAGGAACAGCAGTGTTCACACCGGCTGCTCTGCAGCAGGAGGCCACTGGCAGTCTTCAAAGCTGAGATCCTTTCTACATTTGCTCCTTCTATTCTGAGCCCAAAACAGCATTAGCACAAATGCGAAAATGACTGGCCAAACCCAGATTGGGCCTTTATATTCCTGTGCTACTACTTTGCAGAGCAATGGATAATTCCTTAGAGAAGGCACCATAGTGCTTTTTTAGATTTTCCAAGCTCTCATCTTTTAGTATCTGCTTTACAGGGGTCTCTGTGTTATTTAAAATCCATCTGAGGTGAGTTTTCATGGTTTACTTACTGTAAACCTTCATAATTGTTAAGCTTAGAACTTCATTTACCTCTCTCAAGAAAAGGAAACATTCCACTCTGCATAAATTAACAATAAAGTCTCCCAACCCTTGTCTCGCTAATAACAATATTGCCTGTTTTAGGTGATTATACATTATTTCATTATTTAATGCTTTAAGTGTTGAAAGAGTAGATCTTATGGGGTATGAACAAAAAGTGCAAATTTTGACAGATTTAAATTTAAGAACTTGCCATTTATGTTATTATCTCTAATTTTTATTTTAAAATACATAAAAAAGAAACTGCATAGTATTCACCTATTGTTTCTTTAAATTCTCCAGTTGGTCCTTGTTCATTAAATTTGTCTCAACTATTTGTCCATTTTCTCTTCCTTCTTGAAATCCTTTTTATTTTCAATATCTCTTGTGCATAAGAACTGCTTTATAACTGTGTATTAGTCAATATCAAATATTTGAAACTTTGACTTGATTGAACAATATAGTTACTAATCAGATGGAAACAGCTCTCACAGGAGCAAGTCTTGGCTATTACCCCATCAGGAGATGGATTGCTTTCCTCTGGGGTGGGGGTAAAGGCTCCTGTTCCTTGTATGAATAAGAGGTATAACAAATGACCTAGAGGCAAGTAGGTGAAACATGATATGAGAGTACACCAACAAGAATAAATACTCTATTTGATTTGTCAGCAGGTTGAAATCTTTATTTATATAGCTGATCCAATAAACAACATAATGCTGTTTTATTATCTTAGTTTCCCCTCACTGGTTTCATCTAGAACACAGATGAAATATAACTACTTGATTGATGTACATCAGACAAACTGAAAAAACACACAGAAGAAATACTATGAGCATGGTGCTGAGGCCATAGGAATTTTTTAATGAAATCAGTAAGTCATTGATCTGTAGGAACTGAACTTGGATAATACTCAAGTTCACAGACAAATGAAACATACAACGAATCCTCAGAAGTGAGGAACTTTCGTGAGTGAAAATGACAAGTTTTATGAAAATTGTAAAACAACTTAATGTATTTGCCCTATAAAAAGCAGGGCAGATATGAGTAGTCAAGTAGGTTGTCAATATTTGTCTAAATTCTGATTGCAAATGTAAAAGTGAAACATGGTAGTGGGCAGTTAGTTAGAGATTAAGGTGCCTGCTTCCACATTGGATTACTGTGTTCACATATGGCCGTCAACTGATAACTGGATAAAGTTATAGTTCACACATGATGGAATACTATTCAGCTGGAATTTGAGAATTAAATCCTTTCTTTGCAACAGATTGGATGAAATTGGTGTTCATGATGTTTAGTGAATAAATTAGTCTTGACAAAAATCATGCAATCCCTGATTTGTGATAACTAACATACAGAATGCTAAAAGTGCAATAAATATGAGCAAAAATTAACATTTTGTTATTTGATTAGTATTTATAACACTATTCTAAGGAAGAACAATTATTTATCTATTTATCACTTTTTAACTTTATTTAATACCATGGTAAGTTTGTGATTATCCAGTTAATTGAAAATATGCCATTATAAGATTAAGAAAATAAAAGGAATTATCATTGTGTTCTTAAAACTATATATATACAGCACATAAAATTTATTCCATTTATACATATGTGCATCTACACACGCATGTATATGTATTTACATATTTATATTTCTGGAGTTTTGTTTCTGAGTTCAGTTTCCATCTCTGCTTCCTATGCAGACATAAAAAGGCAGCAGTCATAGTTCAAGTAGTGGGTTTCCACAAGCAACATGGGAAATCTATATTGTACTCCTTGTTCCCATTTCTACCCATGCTAGCCCCTGTCAAATGCAAGCATTTACAGTATGAATCAGTGGATTGAAGTTCTATCTGACTCTTAAATAATAAAACATAATTAATAATCATACAAACTACTTGAAACACAGAAATAACAATGTTGACATATGCCTTGTTAGAGTTATAAGCCAGTTTAGACTATCCTAAAATCTGCCAAGTTCAGTAGAATTATGCTTCAACGTTATAGACTGCTAAACATAAAATGAAAATAAACACAAGACAATTGAATAGTACCCTAAAGCCATTTTAAGGTGTATAGAATCCGGATGTATATAAACTAAAATTGAAACGTCAATGAAGTATTCACAGGATGTGGTTAAGAATTTGCATTTTTAAACATATTTGTTATGCAATACTATGTCAATTAATTCCATAATGTTGTAAATTGTTATTGATGTTATGTTGTGGCTTTTAATTGATCGGGATGATATCCTGCCAGCTTTGCCTTCAGACCAGAGATGGTCTCCCCAATAAATCAGTGAATTTATCTGGACAATAAAATGCTGGACTCTATGCTTGGTATACGCTTGCAGTGAAAGAATCTTGACTGAATTTGAACTGTAATACTGCAACAAGGTGTAGGAATCCACCATGGGGGGGAGGGTACGGTGAGGAGTTGGGGGAATCCCAGAGCCTTTGAAACTGTCACATAATCCAATGTAGTTAATAAAATAAAATAAAATAGATGAAAGCAAAAATAGTCGTAATTACTACTAGTCAGTTGCCAAGTTGCAGTGAGCCATAAAATAGATAGGAGCTGAATAACTTGGACTGCATTATTTTATTCCCCTAACATCATGAGAGTTGTTATTGTGGCTATTTATAATTATTAAGAGCATATAATTTGCTCAGTATGTATTTTTAAATGTATTCTGTGTGCAAGACACTGGATTACATCCTAGAAATAAAGTCAAATAAGACAGGATTTGCCCTTGTAAATTTAAAATGGAGCACAATATGAGATAAGCCATTCTTCAGTTAGAGAATTAATCACTAATGTACAAATTATAATTGAAAGATTATCTCTTGTTTCAAAATATTCATGTCATACGAAATTGATCAAAGAGGTTAGAGAAGAAACAAATATAAAATCAGTGCTTATTTGATAGAACTTAAATTTATTCATTGGCTCATCGTTTAAATATCTTCCCTTCTAGAAAACACAAAGCCATGTGCTGTAAACAAAGGAGCTGCCTGGCCCATCAGTCAAATGTGCTCAATTCAAAGACAAAATATTCCAACTGTCTTCACATAGACACTACTCAATTAGCTGAAAAGTATTACGGAAAGAATACAGTTCAGCAAAAACTCTCATTTTTTTCCATTGGTATCACTGGAAGTATTTCAGTCTTCCAAATGGAAAATGACTAATACGTAACAGTTTGTTCAACCACCAAAAAATAAGCTGCACAGGAACTAGAATGACCACATTATTATCACCGTCCCAGTATCTTAAAAGTAAAATTGTAGTCCTACCAGCATTGAATTATTATCTCAGATGATATAACCTCAGCCAACTTTAATCAGGAACCAGTTCATGATTCTCCAGGTTACTGCTGAACTAACTACTTATGTCCAATCCATGTTACCCTGAAAAGTTAATTATAAAATTGGAATTTAAGAAATGATGCCTTTCAGCATAGCCATGTAATATTATAATGTCACGAACCTGTATCTGCACTTTGGCATTTATGACTCATAAAAGAAATACATAAAGAATCAGGCAGAAGGGCAATTTTTGAGTCCTGTTGTGAAGTTTCTTTCTTAATTGTTGACTGTTACTGCAGAATATGTAACTCATACATCCTGTACAAAGTTCAAATTAATAAATTTATTGCTTTGAAATTTATCTTTCAGAGAGAAATATTAACCAATGGCTTATTAGTCTCAAAAGATATTTTTTCTTTTGAATGCATTTAGAAAATTAAAGCAATATTAGCAGTAACTCTCCCTTTAATGGTTGACAATATAGAATCAAATTTGAACCAAGAGAAGATGACAAGGAATTAGAGGATTAAAACAACTAATAACATAATATATTTTGCATAGAATTAGAGTGACAAAATTCTTAACACCCAGACCCACTTTGTCACTGGTGTCTCTACTGCTTCCTCACATCTTTCAGAACTCCTGAGATATTATCTTTCTTTTCTGTACATTCTATAGAAATCTATGATTCTAAGCAATTGTAGTGGAGCTTTGATAGAGGCTTCATGTTGCTCAAGAAGTTTAAAAACTCTGTTGAGACTAGCATTGTGGCACAGCACATTAAGCTTCAATTTGTGATGTCACCAGCCTGCTGATTTGAGTCCTGTGTGTTCGGCTTCCACTTCACCCCCCTGCTAACTCACAAAGACAGCAGAAGATAATCAAGCATGCGGGCCGCTGCCACTCATGTGGAAGACTCAGATGGAATTTTAGGCTTCTGGCTTCAGCCTGTTCCAGTCTCAACTTTTGCAGCTATTTGGGAAGTAAGCAAAAAACTGACTATCTTCCTCTCATTTGAAAGTTTTTCCCTCCTTCGTATCACTCTTTCAAACAAATAAAAAGCATCCTTTCAAAAATTGCTGATTCTAGAAACATGTTAGTGTCATTAATATCAGCATCTGCAGCATTCCTTTGGCTCGAGCACTCTCTCCACCTGACTTCTAATAAAATGCATTTGGGTTGCATGGTGAGGATCGGTGTCCTGTTGAAGGAGCATGTATTACCATACACCATAATCGTACTGTCATAAAAATAATAGTTCCCAGAGTGCATGAAATACAGGTTACATGTAAATGTATGGCTCACTACCTGAACACAGTGTAGAGCACATACGGGACAGACACAGCAATTATAGGCACAGCAGTGTAAGAATAAAGACATTTTAGAGACTGTAGAAAGACCCAAACAATTCAAAGGACTTGAAAAGAGAAATCAATAGGACATAGCCTGAAAAATAACGGCCAACTCAATCCTTCAACTGCAATATACATAATTAGATTTTAACAAGCAGAGGGAGCAGTAGTTGAACAGAACCAAGCATAAACTGATTTTTTTTTCCTCCCAAATGATAACCAAGTTTTAAAAAGATTTCTTCATTTTACTTGAAAGGTGGAGATCTCGAGAAAAAAGGGGGAGACAGAGAAAGAAGTCTTTCATGCTCTGATTCATTTCCAGATTGCACAGCAGCCACTGTTGGGCCGTTCTGAAGCCAGGAGCCAGGAGGGTTTTGTCTCCCTTATGAATGTAGAGAACAACACATTTGGGTCATATCTGTTCCAGGGAACTGGATCATAAATGGAACAGCCAGGACTTGAACTGGTGCTCATATGGGAAGCCAGCATCCTAGGAGGCAACTTCACTCACTATGCCACAGCACCAGCCTTGTAAATGAAATTTAGGTAGCAAATGCCACGGTGTTCTTAGAATTTTTATAGATCTTTTAGACAGTCTTGGATATTATATGTTTAAGCCACATGCACAAATGCTAAGATAGGGTTGATTCGTTCTAAATAATTATTTTATAACTTAAAAATGAGCTACATCAAAACAACAAAACTTAACTATGAATAAAAATGATGTATTCATGAGCAAAGTGGTAGTGGAGATAAGGTGATGTGGCAGCAGAGTGAAGGAGATCAAGAATTCAATCACAGTTTCACCACTTACTGGCTTGGTCACATTAGCCTTACCCCTAGAATAAGCAAAGCAAGAATAAGTAAAATATACGTTAGGGTGAAGAGATTAATTCACTAGTGGAGTGCTCAGTAAAATGGTATAAGTACTGCACAAT